GACACATGATTTGCTAAATGATTGATATAAAAGCAGCTATAAAATGGAGCCTAATGACATGCTGTTTTGACTTATGACTGTAGTGACCTAGGTCCAACATTCAGAACTCAATTGTGGTCTTAAATCAAGGACTACCTATAGTGCAAAATAAGTCATTTGTAAGATTTTTCACCAAAGCTAGTTGCTCATTGCCTACATTCTTAATTAATTAATTAGACACATTTATATGCCGCCCAATCCCGAAGGACTCCAGGCAGCTTCCAAAAATAAAGAGAAAAAACACATAACAAAACACACAACGAAAGAAACAGTTTAAAAACAGCAATACCTCATACATTCATTCTAATCGGGATTGGACCTCAACAGTGAGGTCAACAGCCCCAGGCCTGCCGGAACAGCAAAGTTTTTACAGCTTTCATGAAGGCCATGAGAGTGGGTATGGTCCGGATCATTATTGGTCTATTTCTGTTCATTGTTGAATAATTACAGATATTATCTTTGGCCACACCCACGGGGCTGCCATGTCCCCTTCCTGCTTTGGAGCTGGCAAAAAGTTATGTTGCCTAAAACCTGCTGCCTTCTCCACATGGCTTATGTAAAAATAGGTATATATTATTATTTGTATAGTTTTAAGGGCATCATTCCAAGGGCTGTGATTATGGTTCACTTAGCTGAAACTGCTCGCATCCAATATCATTCACCATATTAGCAGTCTATGTCATGTTCTGCATGCTGTCTTAATCTCCCTGGGATCAGTCAAATAAATAATAAAATAAAATTATCCTTTAATTAGCAAGCACACTGCTTTGTTACTCCACGAACTATTTTTTAAATCTTTTTTTGTCCTTACCATTAGCTATTGATTTTTTTAAAAATCATGAAACAATGGATCCACTGATTGACTATTCAATATAACAGTTACTTAATTAGGGCTTTTCTATATTTGGTTGACACCAAGTGATCATTTGGATTTTTGCCCCCAGTAGACAAGGATTTAAAAGCTAGTTTTGAAAAAGGGAATTAACTGGGTGGATTGGTATGGAAGCTACATGCTATCATAAAAACGTTACATAAGGAGAAGAAATGAGGAGCCATGGATGTTGGGAGCATTCCCTGTCAGGTTGGCTAAATAAAAAATGTGGCCACCTGGCAAGAGCGGCTGTAATATTTGAGGTGGTGTTTCAGTGCATCAGGAAGGCTGGAATCCCTATTGAATAATAGGCATGAATAATTTAGTCTACCTCAGATACTAGATGGCCAATGAGAATATGTCATCAAGACTTATCTTTCAACTAATAAAAAATATGTGCAGTTGTTCTTGGCACCAGCCAATTACTTCCTGAAGTTGTTCCAAGTACAGCCAAAATATAGTTTGTTTTGTTAGATTTAGTGAAGAAAGAAACAGATGTGCAGGTCTGAACTGAGAACTGCCAGGATGAGTTTTAGCAGCTGAAAGCAGCTCTTAGTTGTAGTATTGTCTTAGAAGCTTTAGACTTTGAAAAGCTGATCACATTAATCACAGATTTTCAGAGAGGGGCATTGAAGCATTGTTAACACCAAACTCTTCATCCAATGGTGTTCCTAAGAAACTGTTGATAAGAGAATCCCATTCTTCTCAGCAGAGTGGGCTCTGCTGTGGTATGCATCTATGAGAAAGTACATTGCTCTCTGTAGAAATGTTGATTTGAACACAAAACTGACTGAATAGTTCTGAGAAGCCCACCATAATAAGTTAGTGTCCTGGAGTCTTATCCCGCAGAAATATAGCTTTAAGATAGAATGACAGATGTGTTGTTCAGATAATTCTTTCAAGGGATCAATAATTATACAACAATGCAAGAAGTGAATCTAAAAAAAAAAAAAGATATTGCCAACAGAACTATTTTGGACAACAGTAGCATAGAAATTACCATTGATGAATAAATATTTCACACAGACATATCCATTTATGCTTAACTAATTGCATGTTCTACATTCAGGTAGTCCCTGACTTATAACTGGTTGCTTAGCAACCATTTGTAGTTATGATGGACTCCCTCAAAGGTACTTATGATCTGATTCTGAAGTTGCAATGCCTTCCAATCACATGACCACATGTTGAATGCTCAACAGCTGGCTGCATTCATGACTATTTTCAGTGTCTTCCAGTTTTCAGTAAAAATGCCTTATAGTGAACATATGGTTGCCTTATGATCATAGTGGTTGCTTTATGACAGCAGCAATGCCTTAACAACCATTGCAAAAAAAAAGTCATAACATTGAACTGGTCATATTGGTGACCCACTGTATAACCTTAATGACTTACAACTGTAATGGGCAGGTTCCATTATGGTCATAAGTCGAAGGACTGTCTGTAGGTTGTGTTAAGACAACCTTCCCAATCGCGACCCTTTATTACAGTTCCTCATGTTGTGGTGACCCCCAACCATAAAATTGGTGTCTCGGGTCCTAAGACCATCGAAAATATGTGTTTTCCTATGGTCTTAGGCGACCTCTGTGAAAGGGTCGTTCGACCCCCAAAGGGGTCCTGACCCACAGGTTGAGAACCACTCTGTTAAGAGAATCAGTTCTTAGCATGGTCATCCTAGCAGACAGAGCAGTATTTAGCTAACCCCATAATCTTTTAAAAGAGAGACATGTGTGAATGAGTCAGTCAGCTCCACTGACAGCAAACACATTTTGTTTCGATCCATATTAATTCATCATGGACAATGAATCTAGAGTTGTAAAAGAGATAGTAACATGCTTTGGCTTACCTGTAAAATCAGATTACTTAAACTCCTTCGTTTTTGCTAGAGAAAAATGGTTTGTTGTTTTGAAAACTAAAGCAGAGATTGGGAATGGAGGCTAAGAAGAAAGCCAGTATATCTTCCATGACCCAAGCAGCCTCCGAATTTAACTGACTGGAGTCCTCAGGGACTGAAGCCTAGGGATAACTGAGTCAGAGAAAAACCTATTGCACATTAAAAAAATCCTTGGGAAAAAAATCAGTTAGCTAGAAGTATGTTATGTTTAAATCAAATGTATTGCCTTTGATTATTATTGTCTTTATTGAATCTCAGTCATTGTGTGTATTTTATTAAGTTGACACCTGTTTACATCAGTTACATCTTTATTACTACCAGATCAAAAGCATGTGGTGATGAGCTGTGGTGGCTTAGTGGTTAGAATACAGTATTGCAGGCTAACTCATTGCTCACTCCAGGAGTTCTATTCTGAGTGGTTCAAGATTGACTCAGCCTTTCATCCTTCCGAGGTCGGTAAAATGAGGACCCAGATTGTTGGGAGCAATATGCTGATTCGGTAAACTGCTTAGAGAGGACTGTAAAGCACTGAGGAATGGTATATAAGTCTAAGTGCTCTTGCTATCTGCTCGAGAGTATTGTATGTATTTTTTTAAAAAAGATTAAATAAGTTATTTGCAAAGTAAAGCACTACAAATTTAAATAATAAAGTTATAGAAAAGTATTAAGTAAATAAGAGAAATAAAATGAGAGAGAGAAAGAGAAAAAAAGCTAAGAGTGGTTTCTGATCTTTATAGCAATGATATTTTATATATTTTATATTTTATCCTTTTTCTCTAAGGATACATTATTGGTCTCTTCTTTCCATCTTATACCATGTCTTATCATTAAACCCATAAATCCCAAGTTCATTTTTTCCTATTTTTAACACACACACACAAATCTTATATTTGTTGTTTTATTATAGATTGTTTTCAAGACCTGCCAATGTCTTGAATAGCTCTGTATTTCTAACTCTTTTGCTAAAAGAATTTTTGCATGTTTCCCTCCCCCTCTTTTAAAATAGAATTTTATTCAAGAATTAATCTGTGAAACACCATAATTATCTAGAATCGCTTATATATAATATAAAAAAACATTGTTTCTACATCTCCATTCTATAGCAAAAGATGTTAAATCTTTTGAAAAAACACCTGTAATATGTATTTTCAGATCATGACCACTTGAGAAAAAGAGAGAGTGATCTTTATATGAAAATAAAACTATGTATATTGTATTTATGACACTACTTGAGAAATATCAACTGTGGATAAAATGTTCCTCTACAACTAAATCCATTTTTATGGGGAACAATGATAGTAATAACCAAGTCTTCTGTGAGTTGATGCTTGATACTGGGAATCTCAAGAATGTAAGATAAACACTTTTAAATCAGTCTAAGGAGGAATAATATTAAATATTCAACTTTTCAATCTTATGTAGAAAAACACTTCTACAAAATTTACAGAGGCATAATTAAGAATATTGGTTTGGAAATGGTCAAAGATTAACCCACTATACTAAATGCAGCCACAATTCTATATCCATTTAAGTGTGAAAAAGCAATTCTTCAGTAATGGAGCACATCATTTGTACATCAGTCCCCAGTATCTCCAGAGGGGTTGAGAAAGCTTCCTGTTTGAAATCACCAATCAATGTGATATAAGAAGGTTCTGAACAAAATGATCATGATCTAATGAGCTTTTTTTAATTCCTTCCCCAACTAATTTATGGGTGATATCAGAAGGGAGTAAGAATGCAGCCTGCTTATAATGTCCTCAAGAATTCTAGCAAGGAAAGATGAATCCCAGAAATGCCATTATTGCTCAAAAAACTGAGTGCTGGTGGCTACAAAATAGGGGAGTTGAAATTTTGGAAGAGAATGCTTTCTTCTGTCAAGAAAATAGTTCTTTTGGGAATATTTTTTCACATTTATAAATTTCCCAAAATTTTACAATACAAGTTGCCCCTCAAAAGGGATTTTAGAAATAATTTTATGTGAGTATGAGGATGAATAAAATGTCCATATATACTAACATGCATAAAACATGACAATTTAAAAAATAAACCATTTTATTGAAGGAGAGATGAAGTATGTCCAAATCTGTCACTTAAAATAATGGATTTTCAATATGCGCTTTCTTTCTCTCTTTTTCTTCACAAATACCTATTATTCTGAATCAAAAAGTTATTATGTGTCACAATTGATTTTCACAGGGTCAAGGAGCGCTGTCAGAGAGGCTCCGGAGTTTTAGCATGCAAGATCTTACCACAATTAGAGGAGAGACCAGCAGCACTGCAATTCCACTGTCTCATGCCCCATCAGTTTCTGCACGGGCAAGTAGCAAGCAGAGTCAGTCGAAAACTTCCAAAATTGCATCAGACGGTATTGGACATTCAGGTTAGTAGGAGTTGCCTGCAGACTTAATGGTTAAAATTTCCTCCTATCATCAATTATTAAAAATGAACACAAGATGACACAATAACATTGAATTTTGTACTCCCCCAGATCCCAAATAGTTCCAATTTCAAACATACTTTAAAAGGACATTTTTAGAATGAGTTTGTAACCTTCAGTTGGGCAAAACTCTGAGTCACAAGGCAGCAATTTTTGAACCAAGGTACCTCAAACAGATTAACTTACACAATGCTGAGACCATTGCTCCTGAAGAATGAAATTTGGGAAACTTGTGGCCACTTTAGAGCCACTGCTATGCTGCTGCAGATTCAGCACTACCATGCTGCTTGGTCAGCCAGGATGATATGATTGTTATTTCTAATGCCCCCTGATAGCATCCCACAATTCAATAGGGAAGCTGGCAGGAAGCACAAACTTAATCATGGTTGCCCATGCTTCAGGTTTGCAAGGAGCATGAGCAAGGGGGAAGTTAGTAGGGAAGGTTGCAAGTTGTTCGCATTCATCTCCAGATACTCTGCCAATGAACTGCACATGTCTGCTCACTGTATCTGACCTCCAGTATGCCACAAGCTCTTACACTTTTCTGATCTGTAGGGCAGCTCTTGCACACTCCCAAGCACCCTTCCTGAGGATGCAAGCATCTTTTGCATAATTCCATTACACCCTCCCAGGATAATATGGTAATAAAGTTAATTCTTCCTTCTTTGGAAAAAGCTGGAGCAGAGATGTTACTTACATTAAACAAAACTGCATGAAAATGTCATACACGTTAATGCTGCTGAAATTCAACTTTGCATGGGCTACGTTTCTTCACCCTTGAACCTACTGATTGTTAAGGAAATAGTTCCAAAATATTTAGCATAGGTAATTACTGCACTTTTTTCTCGCTTCCTTGTGTAAAAGACAAAATATACTTCATATAATTCTAGATAACATTTCATCTGTTGGATATTCCCAAGGCTGTTAATTTCTCTCTCAATTCAGTTCTCTCTACTTTCTGAGAGATCAGTCCACAGGCTCTTAGCTGTAGATAGAATCATGTAACTTATTATTTCCTAAATAAAGCTAATTTTTATTTTCTTTCATAAAAGTGCTAGACGAGAATACTTTTTCCATACACTATAGAAAGGTAGTTATGATCCAGTTGTGGGATTCAAATTTTTTTACTACTGGTTCTGTGGGCATGGTTTGGTGGGCATGGTGTAGCTTGGTGGGTGTGGCAGGGGAAGGATACTGTAAAATCTCCATTCTTTCCCCACTCCAGAGGAAGGTTACTATAAAATACCCATTCCCTCCCGATCAGCTGGGACTCAGGAGGCAGAGGATAGATGGGGGTGGGGCCAGTCAGAGGTGGTATTTACCAGTTCTCCGAACTACTCAAAATTTCCACTATTGGTTCTCGAGGACTGGTCAGAACCTGCCGAATACCACCTCTGTTATGATCCAACAAAAGTTACTATGGTTTCAAATTTAAGAATGGAGTGAAAAATCTAAAAAGCACAAATTAATGAACAAAAGAAAAAATGCTATGTATATATTTTCATTGATTTATTAAACAAATAAATCTGTCCTTCTATTAAAGGATGTCTAGGTGGCAAAAAGATAAAAAGTGGCAATGAGCCACAGTGTTGCAGGGATTAGAGTACAGTACTGCAAGCTACTTCTGCTGCCTGCCAGCTGCCTGCAATTTGGCAATTTGAATCTTATTAGGCTCAAGGTTGACTCAGCCTTCCCTCCTTCCAAGTCAGTAAAGTGAGGACCCAAATTGGGGGCAATATGCTGACTCTGCAAACTGCTTAGAGAGGGCTGTAAAGCACTGTAAAGCAGTATATAAGTCTAAGTGCTATTGCTATAGCCATTCAGATTTTCACAGTCTTCCAGAAGGGCAGGAAGGTTGGGGCTGTCTGTATCTCAGGGTGGAGGCTCTTCCACAAGACAGGCACCATGACAAAGAACGGATTCCCCCTAGGTCAGCACTTGACACTGCTTCACCAATGGGACCTGGAGCAGATTTGTTCTGCTTACATGAGATTTGGCCACATGCCATAAAGGTTTTAAACAGAACAACTAACATTTGAATTGCACCTGTAAGCAGAGGTATTGTGTAAATACATCACAAAGCATCCATTACTATAAGTGCCACTTCATTCTAGACAAGCTGAAACTTCCAAATGCTCTTCAAGAACCACCCCGTGTAAAATGCATCTATGTATTTTATACATTAATGCAATCAGGAAGTGACTGAGTGACAATGAGCAATGTCTCCTGGTTTAAGAATTAATGCAATTGGAGCATATTATGCATTTGGGCAAAAGCCCTTCTAATCTTGGTTACCATCTGCAGCAGTTCTGAATCCAGGAGTATTCTACCCACTTTCCTCTGTGTCTAGAATTGCTTCCAATTTATATTTTTCCTCCCCATTTACCAGTATAAGAGGGGAGTGCTACCTGTGAATGCAGAATTCAGGGGGAGCCTCTTTGACCAATAAAGAGTAATGGTACAGGGTGAATTTTCATTGATGAAAATTCCCAATTGCAACTTGAGTATAACTGAGTTTATTTGCTTAATCACTGGGAAAGAGCCAATTTTTATCCAATTTCTTGGAAGGCCTTTTGGAATTAAAAAGAAAAGTAGGGAGGCACGACAAATTTCTTTCTGCAATTCTAGTCCTCTCTTTATTTATATGCATCTGCTGCTTTTTTGTACGTGCCCTTTACCAGTTCAAGTTGTTCTTTAAGAGGCTTTAGGCAGATTGCCTCTTGTGCAGAAAATGTGAATCAAAAGGGATGGTGCTTGGAACAAAGACATAGCAGTAGAGGTGTGTTCTGCATTGTTGTAAGGAAGAGCTATAAGATCAGTTCCATTTCAGATTCTCTGTTGGGGCCAGATGATACAAGGAAGAGAAATGAAGTAGCATTGATGATGTTACCTACTCTGGGTAGTGAAATGTCTGCAAGGAAACTACCAAGCTCAAGAGAGCACCAAGAATCCCTCAATTTGTTTAAAAAAATTTTTTAATAAGAGGGCCTTCCCAAATTTGGAAATTTGCATTTTCATTGTCTGAAATTACATGATTGACCAAATCTTCAATCATGTAATTTCAGACATGTGGTCCAAAAGAAGCTGAGCCATTTCCTGGGATGTTAGGAGATCCTTTTCAAGACCATAAAATGACCGACTTTGGTAAATCCACCGCTACCAATATGCTTATATATCTTTGCATTGGGGGAAGATTGGTGATAAAATCTAGGAGAAATGGTTCCAGGGCTGCAGCACTAGTTGCTGCAATAATCCAATCCATTTACCAAGAAGTGCTCAGCGAGCACTGTGATGGGGCGCAGGAGTTCATGGCTTCCATGACAGCCATAGGCTTGACCCAAGTAATTCAGGATCCGACTCACTCGGCGGGTCACACATTTGACCTCGTATTCCTGTCGGAGCAGTGGAATTGCGATCTTGGTCTGAGGGGTATTGAGATCTTGCCCCTGTCATGGTCGGACCACTGCCTACTTAGGCTCGAGTTTCAGAGGCCAATCCCCCACTGTAGGGAGGAGGAACCGATTAGGTGGTTCCACCCCAGGCGCCTTATGGACCCGTCGGGCTTTTAGACGGCACTTGGTGTTATACCTGATGCTCTCGCCCACAGTCCGGTTGGGGCCTTGGTTGCTGCTTGGAACTCGGCGGTGGCAGAGGCTCTTAACCGGATTGCGCCTTTACGGCCGATCCGAGGCAGTGAATCCAGGAGGGCTCCTTGGTTTACTGAGGAACTCCGGGAGATGAAGCGCCAAAAGAGATGCCTAGAGTGCAGTCCAGTAAGTCCGAGTCCAGTAAGTCCGAGTCCATGGGAAGACCCCCCCCCCTCAATATAATGCTAGTAAATTTGAATAAAATTTCTTTCTGCACCTCAAACGAAACAAAGGGACTACAACACTCATTGCCAGCAAGAAGAAATGGTGCAAAACTGACA